TATTATTATATTATTATGTCTTTGAAAACTAATATATTTATTTTTCTAATTTTAATATATTTATTTATTTTTAAAAATTAACAAATTTAAATTTGATTTTATATTTTATTTAGTTACAATTAAATGATAGAAAAATATATGTATATTCATGTATAATTTTAATTAAATATTTCTAGATAATACATTTTTACATAATAAAATTAGAATAATCTAAATATAAATCTATTTTTTAAGTAATATAAAATTTATATAATTAAGAATTATTTTAGAGTATCATAACATATATATAAATAATGCTAAATATTATATATCTTTCAAAAATAGTAATATTATATTAAAATTATCTACTGTAAATACTTATAATAATTTAAAAAGCTAAAATCATTTTTTTTATTTATTTTAGATAGCAAAAGGTTTTAGAAAAAATACAAAAGCTTGATAAAGTTTAATAAATTTATCATATTTTTAAAGCACTAAAATAAGAAAAAAATTATGGACATCCACTTCAATTAAATAGTAAACTTTTGTATCATGTAATTAAATTTTTTGTAATTAAAAAACAAATATTAATTCTCAAAATTAATTTTATTGACGGTTAAAGATTTTTTAAATTTTTTAAATTTTTTCAATATTATTCTAATTTTTAAGTTTTTCCGACATAAAACATACATAATACTTATGGTTACTTATTGAAAAAACAGATTAAAATTTTAAATAAAATTTTATTATAAAATCATCTATAATTATTGGAAATCTTTAGTTATCACGTGTCTAAAGATTAAAAGTATATTTTTATGTCCAAAAGGCTTGAATTTTTATTTTAAGTACATATGTCTTCTACAAAATATCATTTTTTTTTTTTTTTTTTTTTTGCCTTTTTAAAATTTTTTAACTAGGTTGCAAGTATTATTAAAATTAAGCCAAGCTGTATAAACATCTATTTTTAGAAAAGTTGTTATAATACTCTTAATTTACATAGTTTTAATAATAATAACTTGTAATCACTTTGTGTAATCATTGATAATCAACAAAAATCTATATAATCTGTCTTTCCAATTGGCATATAAAATAAGTATTTATCTCAGTATCTTTGAATGTTGGACAAAAGTTTTGGTCAAATTTTCACGAATGTATTATTGTGATGCTTTTGAGTTTTGTTTGTAGCAAGTCTTTAATTATTTATATTTTATATTTTATAAATTTTGTGTAAATTGATTGTGCAATCACATTGACATTGTTTAAATATTGCATTTGGATTTTGTAAAAATTAATTCATTAAAATAATTATATATATATATATATATATATATATATATATAATTTTTAAAATTAGAATACTTGGTATCATAATAGAACAAGATTTTACAACCGAATATTTGATAGCTTAATATATATATATATATATATATATATATAAATTACAAATTAAGTTGTAAATTTATAAAGTAATAAGAAACTAATATTTTATAATGAATTGGTATAGTCCACCCACATGGTATTTATTACAAACTGACATTGTCTAATTTTGTAGAAACCAATTTGCCAATCAATATTAAAACTGAAGTTAATTTTTATCAAATGATATGACGTTGGAATATATATCTATACAATCAATTTGCATGTAATCTCTCTAAATTGATTTTCTTCATAATTTTTAAACAATTGGCTATCACATGCAAAATATTATATAAAAAATTCATTCAAAATACTAAAGAATATAACTATTTTTGGAAATATATTTTTTTTATCAATTCTAAGAGCAAAGAAAAATATTTTAAAAAGGATTTAATCTTTTCTGATTATTTATGCAATGATTTTTATTATTAGTATGCACTTAAAAAATAAAAATTCTTTTGTAGAATTTCTATTTTTATTGATTTATTTCTCTTTAAATATATAATTTAAGATTATTTAAGGATTTTTATTTTTAATATATAATAAATCTTATGAAATTATTAGATTATTTGTAATTAAAAAAATAAAATAGTACAAGCTTAGTGCAATCAATGCCAATAAAACAAATATTTAAAATAGTGATCATGTAGATCCAAAATAATACTTATAAATTCAAAATCTTAGAAATAATTTCACTCATTAAATATGTACTTGATACTTTTTTATATCAAAAATGTTATCTAGTAAACTATTATATATATATATATATATATATATATATATATATTATTAATTATTAAACAAACCTTTACAAGAAAATTTCTTTGGTTGCTTTTATGTATATCTATATATCTATATATATATATATATATATATATATGTGTGTGTGTGTGTGTGTGTATATATATATATATATATATATATTTTTTTTAACTAAAATTATTTTATTAAATATTTAAACTTATTTAGAAAGTCTTTAACATAATGTTTAGAGAAAAAAAATATTATATTGGATGTTAAATTATTTTCCTATCACTATTAATAAATAAGTTGAAAATAAAATAATCTAAGGATTTTTTAAAAGATTAAAAAAGGAATTTTCTTATAAAATATTTTTAAATAATAGAATATATTTTCTTCTAATATTCAATAGACAAATTGAGATACTTATAATGTTATTACTATGTGTATCTTAATCTTCAAATTTCATAGAAATTTATAGAAAAATGTTTCAAAAGTCTTAAAAGAATATTATAAATTTTTTAATATTAGAGAAGATTTTAAAATGCTAAATTCTTCTTAAAGAATTCCTGCAAGATTATACAAGGCATCATAAATAATTTAAATAAAACAGATGTATATAAATGCTCTAAAGGTTGTATAAAGATATATATATATATATATATATATATATATATATAGATAATATTGTTTCAAAATTTCTATATAATTATTTAATCTATAGTTTTTTTTATAATAATTATAATATCTATATAATTAATTTGTGATTTTAACACTTTTATATCTTTTTTATAATTCTCTTTATTCATTTATAATTTTAAATATTTATAATTATTTATTTTTTAAAATTATATGTAAAGATCAAAATACACTATAAGTGTATTTATGATGATTTTATTAAAAACATTGTATGTATAGATGTATACATATCAAGTTTTGTACATTTATATAAAAAAATTAAATATTTAATTGAATTTTTTTTTTTTTATTTTTGTTTTTATTTTATTTTTTTAAATTTGTTCTTTGTGACTTGTGTTTTATTTATTATTTTTATAAAATTTAAATGATTTAAATAAGTAAAAAAATGTAGACATAGGAGGATTAATGTTTTATTTATTATTTTTTTAAAATTTAAATGATTTAAATAAGTAAAAAAATGTAGACATAGGAGGATTAAGTTATGTGGACAATATTTTCTTTAGATAGCATCACATAAAAAAATTAGATACAAATGGGTCTTCAAAAACTTCTTTCAAGAATTTTATACTCTTGAAAAACCAACATAGAAGGATCTTACAACTTAGAGAGTTGGCTTGCAAGTCTTGTAGTTCTTTGTTAATTTATACATGATGTTTTTACTCGCTAATATATAATGAGTCAAAGATAGTGTCATCCTTAGTCTTATTAATGTTCTTCTTGTGTTTTAGTCTTAAGTTTCTTTGTATTTAGCAATAGCCATTCTAATGTTTTCCTAAATTAATAATATATCTCTTTTAATTATCTTTTATTTCTCCTTGGTTGTATACAAATATATCAAATATTTAAAAGTATATTTATAAATATATTTCATTCATAAAAATTCTTAACAAAAATAAAAATTGTGAATTTATTTTTTTATATCTATAAATTTTTATTTCATTTTAAATTTTATAAATATATTAATATTTTATTATTTTAGATTTAGCAAAAATAATAATTCTTCCACAATATTTCACCTTATTGTAAATAATGAAATATAAGATTTATTTTATTAGTCCCTAGCATTAAAATTCGTATATTTAAATACTTATTTATTAATATTTACAATTAAAAGCTTAAAATTACAAAGAAACAGTTCATTAGAATATTTATTTTAGTTTCTTCAAAAAAACACATATTTATTTATTTTTAAAATTGACAATGAATTCAGCTTAAAAAAGCTTCATAATAGTAATATACTATTTATATTAGATTAAAAAGCCTTCATAATAGCAATTACTTAAAACTATATATAAATTAATGATATTTTTAATAATTTAAATAACTCTAAAAATAATATTAATTTTTAGTCGTACATAATCTATTACAAAATTGATTATAATTTTATATTTCATTGCATGCGCATTAAAAAATTTATTTTTATTTATTTTTTGTTTTTATAAATTTTATATATTTCAATTAGTGTAAATTAAAAAAAATTGTATAAGAAAATTTAGAAGATTAAGTAAACACTAATCTGAAAATAATTTATTAATATCAAAACATAAATCAATGTAAATATTTAAAATATCTATACTGTTTTGTATTTTGAAATATTTATAATATCAAACTGCACAAATATCTCTATGAAATAGTTAATTTATTCAAAAAATAAAAAATGAAAAAGATATTCTTGTTATTATCTCCATATAATTTTAAAATACTATTAAAAAACAGGTAATATGTGTATTTATGTAATTAACCATTTGAATTAGTTTTTCTAAGTTGACTTAAATTAATGCCACTTGTGTTTATATTTCATAATTTAACTTAAACCACCTACTTTAAACAAGACGATTTTTAAAGCAAAAAAGTTGCAATAGAAATTATAAATCATATTGTGATCATTTCTAGAAGGTACCAAAGAGATCAGTTTACAAACACCCGCTCTTAGTGCCGATTCAGAAAGAAACAGTGAAGAAAACGACAAAAGGAAAAGAAAAAATGAGAAAAATACTAAGGAAACATTATTTTCGGCCAACAGCGGAATTGGAGACGAGAACGGGCTGGAGCATGGCTTGGAGCTGAGAATCGGTTGGGAGTATACCCGGGACACAGGGTATCGATATCGCAGGGCGATGGCGGGGTGGGGGGGAGGATCGGATTTGTGTCGAGACGGTGAGCGGGAGATGGTGCCGGGCATCGCTGGAGAAGCGTGGGGGAGGGGAGCGGGGGAAGGGAAGCCCTCGTCCCGCGTACGGACCTCGTCACTAATCCTCGCCGACGGCCTCGCGGCGTCCAGGCCTCTCCTTACGCGTCATTTTGAGCGAACAACGGCAGGAAATGGTGCAAAGTCTAGCGAGAACGGCGGGTTTTGGTGTCGCACCAGCAGCAGGGAAGGGTTGATGGTGTACGCGTGGTCTCACGGGGAGTTGCAGAGGGTGGTGGAGGAGGAGGTGGTGGTGAGGGAAGTGCACGGCGACGGAGCAGGGTGGGATGCCCAGTTGGGACCTCGGGGGCGGAGGATGGCAGAAGAAGAATGTGGGGCCTTGGGGTGAGGACGACGAAAAGGGCCGAGGGAGAAGTAGTCGGGGACGGCAAGATGGAGGTGACCAAAGTGCTCATCTGTGGCGGATTGGTGGTGGTGGTCGCGTACGGCATCTACACATGTTCATGCAGGTTGCGGCATCGGTTAGCTCGCAGTTATCACGAGCCCGAGAGTGAGAACAACTCGATCACTGTGCAGGTTCACCTCATGCTATCCCTTGTACCCGAATTGCTATTTCTCTTATGATAATGCTCATATTCATGGACAATCAAGACGGACCACAAGCACGATGATGCCTTCTGTAGGGCAGATTTTGTCAAAGAAACGAAGCGCAGCGTGTACTCGAATGGCGCATTTGTTTCGAGATTAGATTGCGTTAAAATTATGTTTTGGAGTTATTTGTCGTTGTGTGTAAGTTATAGCCGACAGGGTTGCGGATATGGGGCATTTTAGGCAGTTGTTGAGTCTCGACAAATTTTGTTGATCATGGATTCTGCATTGCAAATTTATCATGATCGGGGGTTTTCTGTTCCAAAATATGATGACGCTTTCTCACGATTGGCAGCAGAATACACATGCCACCATTTGACCTCGTGTCGGTCCTTGTCACTTTCTTACAACTTGTAATGGCAAAATTCTAGTGGCGGTGTTCTTGCACATATACTTAAGAATGTGTCATAGACCTGCGAATGAAGGCAGTCAATTATAACAAATTAGGTTAGGATCTCATAATAGGGCTGGTGTTGAGAATGCAACTTAAATTCAGAAGACAGATGATGTAGAGCACACGCAACGTCCGGTAAAGAACTTAGTCTGGCATTAGGAGAGTGTTATTACATGCACAAGGGAATAAGCATGCACGTTGCCTCGAAAAGTTTTCGCGGGAGCTGTTGTCGATTCTGGTTCCGATTGATGATTGGAAGAGGACTGGAAGTATCTGACAGTAATGGTTCTGAGGGATTGACAGAGACCCAAGGATTTGTTGCAGCCACTTTTAGAAGACAGCGATGCGGTCGTGGGGCTGGGGCAAACTTGGAGGGGTTCTAGAGGATCGAATTCAATACCCGATGTAGAGAGAGGTTTAGATACTGCCGCGACTGTGGCTAGTGACTCAAATAATGATTCGAATGGCAGTGGTCGGAAGGTGACAAATGGAGGCGAGGTTTCTAAAGCTCGGGCTGCCTCCTCGAATTTAAACCCTCAAAGTGAGTCTCTAAACACCAACCATTGAGTAAATATATTGGGATAAATTTCTTACCCCTTAGACCAAGTTCCTCCTCCTTGGCATCGCTTCCAGCTTCGGACTCAACAGATCTTTGGTTCAACTTGAGTGCAATCTGAGTTCTTATTTAAGACCTCCATTTAACAGGTTTTATATATTTTTGCGAGACATTGCAGATTGTAAAATTCAGTTGGAGGTTGTAGCTGGACCTGTATCTGGCCTTCGTGCCGAGAAGCAGGTCGTAGGTTCAAATGCTGTGTTGACCATAGGTCGCATGCCACAGAATGACTTGGTGCTGAATGATCCCGAGGTTTCTGGCAAGCATGTCGTCATTAGCTGGAATGGGAAGGTGAGATATAACAACTATTTTATGGTTTTCAGGGGCTCTGTCCCGTACTTGACCTGAAAAAGTAGTCTCACTTCTACGTCTTCCTAGTGTTGGCAATGTCATTCTTCTTCCCGTAAGAACTATCTACATGGAGCACTCATCTTGCTATCAGTACGATATGACGAGACCTGAAGCACATTTTCTTCATGTGCTGTGGTAGGTTTTTACCATGTATTTCTTAGATTAGTCACATGTTTGGAGATGATGTCAAAGCTCGTCGGACAGTGTGAAAATAAATGCTGAGAATCGATTTGGTATGGGTTGGTGGATGCCAGTTGTCCAATTGGGAGCTAATAGACATGGGCAGTCTAAATGGGACTCTTGTTAACAGTAGGCCAGCAGGTGCCGCTCAAAAAGCTAACTCAACTACACGGCAACGTGGGCTTCCAACCTCCCTTTCTAACGGAGATACAATTACCCTTGGATCATCATCAAATGTACTTGTAAGTGAACTTGAAAAGACGATGTTTGAGATGAGTTTCACCTATTTATGGCCATGTTCCATTTATAAAAGGTAGTTTAACAAAAGTCTCGTTCTTTTAGGGCTTACATTGGCTCTAGAGAATTCCTGATCGTGAATTCATGGATAAATGCAAGTTTTTCTTTCATTTGAACTGAATAGTTGTTACTATATGGATTCGGGAGAAAATTGTAGGTTCGAATTTTGGCGTCTCACCTGCCCACAGCATCGGCACCTTTTGAAGTAGGAGTGGCATCAGATCCCATGTCTCATCGTCGGGGTGGGAGGCCATTGCCTATGGAGGATGTGTGTCTATGTGAATGGCCCCTGAGAGCTCCCCACGAGGTTTGCTATCTCCTTTTCGTAGTCTCCTTATTTATTTATTTATTTTTGTAGTCTGATAGTCGAAGAAGATTTACAAATACTGTTTCTCATTTATTCAAACTCACTAATGATGTTTTTCTTGTTTTGTGAATGTGTGTTAATTGTCAATGTTCAATCAATCTTGTATCATGGTTTGTATTACATTAGTTAAGATGAATCATATCTGTAACCAATTGTGAACGTATCTTTTTGTTTCCAAGAACATTTATGAAAACGATAGAAGCCTGGAAGTCAAGAATGTTCATGTGCAGCGCAAGCGTTTGGTTCGATCCATTTCTATCTCAAAAAAGTTATCTTATTGTTTTTGGTACAATTTCTTGGTTTCAGGTACCGTTTGGGATATTTTGTGTGTTTGATGGACATGGTGGGTCTGCTGCTGCTGAAGCTGCAAGCAGGTGCAAACGCTAGATAATTTTTCTATTATCTATGTGCAAATGTGAAGATTGCTTGTCATTCTCGCTTCTTACTGAAGATCCCTACTTATTTGATTTTTACCGGCTCTCACTTGTATACATCTGTAGCTCTTATTATGTTATATGTTTGTCAGACGCTTCTTACCGGATTTGTTTGTCAGATTCATGCCACAAAAGATATCTGAACTTCTTGCTGTGGAAGAAACTCGAATGGGAGTGATCTCTAATAATGAAGCCTCTAATGTGCTTCTAACTGCTTTTCGTAAAACTGAAGAAGCACTAGATTTCCCGTATGAGGTATTTTATTTTCTTCATGCACTTGTAGAAGATCATTATATTCACTTTGGAAGTGGTGAGCTTTAAGTGGCGTGTTGATACTAGAGTTGATGTTAACATCTATTTATTGAGTTAATTTTGATCCAAGATCTTGATAAAGGCTATTTTATTTGCAGGGTTGTACAGCAACTGTGCTCCTCTTGTGGCCAGATGCTACCTCTGGTTTCCTAGCTCAGTGTGCCAATGTAGGTGATTCACACTGCATTGTCAGGTGAGAAACATTGGTCAAGGAATTGCTTTAGTGGTCCTTGGTGAGCTATGCACAGCTCTTTTGCTGTGTTTTATACAGCTGTACAGAAATTCAGATCGCATTAGATTACAAGGCTCCCAGTGGTTTTCTGATGTCCAGTTGATGCAGTTGATTATCGCCAGGAGCTAGAATTTTACTTTTATTTATTTATTTTTTTCAACACATAAGTGTAGAAAGAAATTTTTAGGCACTATCTTATGCAACCTGCTTGAATTTGCGAGTTTTAATTGCTTCCATATCCTGCTTTTCATGGCATAGTGGCAATATGTTAGGGACTTCTTATGGAAACGAGTCTGTTTGTGTTCATGGCAGCAATGGAGATGAACAACTTCTTATGACAGAAGATCACCGGTTAACAAGCAAAGATGAAAGGTTGCGATTATTAGAGAGCGGTAAGCAGCTGAAAGAAGGCGAGAACCGTCTGGCTGGTAAGTCAAAGGTCATCGGATTAAATTTTCGGAAGTATGGGATATGGTTGCTGGTAATTTAATAAGTATAGAAGTTGATCAGGCTTGTCATTTTACGATGGTATGCGAAAGGGATTTGATAGCATTTACAAATGAAGTGGGATTTATCTACTTCGATCTGCATGTTCGTAACTGCTTTTGTTTTTATCCAGAATGGACATTGTGGTTTAGAAAATATGCGTATTACATAAAAGGAAATTTTCACCCAGTAAGTCGTTTTTTTTTTAATGTAGGAATGAATATTGCCCGCGCACTGGGAGATAAGTTTTTGAAAGAAGAAGAAAGTGCTTTTTCTGCAGACCCTTATATCAGCAACGTTTTCAGACTTAGTGGAGATGGGTTGGGTCTGGTTGTCATGGCTAGGTATGTGCATAATTTCTGCGTCTTGTGCACATTTAACACTGTAGTGCACTTAAACTTATGTGTGCATCGTCATTTACCACCACAAACTGAAGTTTCTACCTTCCACAAGCCTTGTGAAATCTTTACTGATAAATATTTTTCTGGTTTTAGTGATGGACTGTGGGACGTTCTGAGTCCACGACGAGCTTTGCAATTGGCTGCCGAGGTATGATTACTAACAGAGATTTTTTCTTGTTCGTTGCACTAGAATTTCACGTCGGTGTAGTGCTTTTTTTTTGGTAACGTAAGCGCTCAGTCCTGATTCTTGTTGCTCAGGCTCGTGACCGTGTTGCGGAGGGAGGCGTGAAGGGTTCTCAAGCTAGTGCACAAGGTATTGCAAAGATGCTTGTGGACCAAGCCCGAGAGAAGCGAACAAAAGACAATACGAGTGTCATTATACTTGATTTTGCCACTAAGTGCAAATCCTCGTTTCATACTCTTTGATATGTAGACACACAAAGTAAGTACTTGTTTTGAAGGTATTTGAAAACAGCGGATGGAAGTTCTGAAGGCCTGCAAAACAAGTACTTACACATAAATTTGAGGATGTCTGTGGCCTCCTACACACCGTTCCTAGGTCATTTTAAACAGAATCTCTGAGGATCTTGTCAATCATTCAAGTGGATGTGCAAGGCACATAATTCATAGGTTTTGGTCTGTGCCTATCATCCTCTTGTGTCGTACCCACCACACAATAATAAGTGTGGCGTCACCCCATCACATGAGGATATCATTTTAGGCACCTTCACTTAGACTTACTCCAGATAGTCACTTAGATTGTAGAATTTATCAGTACAGTGTATGATAGAATGTGTGGTTTTCGTGGATTGCTTCCTGGATAATATAAGCAGGAGACAAGAAAGTGGGTGCTCTTGTGGCTGGTGTTTCCCTGTCAAACAAGTCTGCGTGGGTCTTACTGCCCTCTAAGTATCATTCCTGAGTTCAGCGTCGATCCGATTTCAGATTTTTTTTGTCTCCTCGACTTCCAATGTTGATAGTATGGAGATTGCCCTCCTGGTCTTGCTGTGTATTGTTGATTGCAGGCGTTTGTACACTCATCGGACTGAGCTTTGAAGGATAGACAAGGAATTTCGTTAAAAGGTCTCAAACTTGTTTCCTTTCTTCTTTTACGCAGATCCCAGGTGGTAGTAATTCAAGTTAACAACAATGTTAATTAATTGCATGGTCATGGCCTCCAATGATTTCGCACAACAGGCACCCAGCTCCCGCTCTGACGTTTTTACTTCATCCGTCCGTCGTCCACGTGTGTATAGAGATGTAGATGTCGGATAGCTGGCTCAGATTTTGTGAGCAATATAATTGTTAAGCTTTTATCAAATTGTTCGTGTGCGAGAAGCCACTAGGACTTTTTTGTTCATCCAGTACCAGGTCCCCGCTATGGTCGGTCTTCTATAACCTGTGCACCCCCGGCACATTTACTTGTGGCTAGTTTATTACTCATCTCCCCTGGACTTCAACCTGTATCGGGCGGCTCCAAAGCTTCTTGCATTTGTGTTATTCGATGTACTATGGTGTGCTGAATATTTCAAGTGGTGCAAGTTTCGCAGTGTACCTGGTAGTAGGTAGTGAATTGACTGTGACCATTTTGCTTAACTTCAACAAGATTTGTTAATTCTAGAATACTACGTGATTCGAACCAAGTGGATAGTGTGGTCACGACTCTAGAAACCAAAATTTGACATTCCAAGTCAACTTACATACATAGGAACGGTAAAATCTATTTTAATTTTGCTGTGATGTGGTATAATGATATCATTTGTGCCCTTGTACGATGATCAGAGGTAACTTACATAGTTTTCTAATTTACTAGCAACTTCTAATTGTGTTATTTTGTTGATTTTTTTTTTTTGGCTTGATTTTTTGTTTTAAATGATAGAAATAACACTATTTTTCTTATCATTATCATGGATCCATATAAAACACAATATGGATATTTAATGCAAGTGTTATGTACTATTGTAATTCATTTAATGCTAGCAAGGATTATAAAATAAGTATATTAATTTATTATAATTTCTAAATTAAGTAATATAGCATATATCAAAATTTTAAAGAAATAACTTAGAAACTTAAAAATCTTTTGGTTTTTATAATTTGTGGTAATCTAAAATAAATTATTTTTTTAACTTCTCAACTATCTTTTTTTTGATTTATGAAACCAATTTTATTTCAATTTATGAAGAAACGAAAGAAAGGAATGGAAATTGTGTTAGTTAATTATAAAATTTGTGGTTTAAATAGAGAGTGAAAAATTATTATTATGTCAATAACAATTTATTTCTTGATAAAACATCATAAATTATTTTTGTAATTAATATAAAAAAGTCTTTGTTTGATTTTATAATCAAGAATTTATTATTTTATTATGATGATTCAATGCAAATATGTAATTGTTTTGGATAAAAAGTAAAAAAAATTGTCAAGTATCCAAATTCTCTTCTCAGATGAGATTGTCTTCTTCTAGCAGTAGCACTTGGTATTGTTTTGATTCAATTTGTATCTTGGCATTTAAAAAATGGGAGTTAAAGAAATAAATTTTATTATATAATTTGCTAATAAAGGTTCCTACTATTGTTTGATTCATTAGCTTTGCATTAATGAGTAATTTTAAGTCAATAATATTGAATTCTTTTATCTCTTTGATTTAAGCCACTTGTTCAATTGCAAGAATAGCATGTATATTAGCTCTTCGGTAAACTTTCTATACTTCTTTTTTGGCTTTCCAAATTTCTTTTTTAGTCTCTTTGTTATGTGAAATTCTTCTTTGGCCTTCTAAAGTTCATCTTAGGTTTGTTTGAGCTCCTCATTGATTTGACTAATTTCTATGTTTTCTTCTTTTATTATGACTTCCAACCCTCTCATCTTTTTGGAATTCTACATGGCCTTGACTAATTCATAGACTTTGATCAAGTCTTTAGAAATTCCTACCCACAAAGCCAAGTAAGTTATTATCTCATTGAATTGATGGTAATTAGCAACTAATTTGTTAAGATTCACCTATACATTGGCACACAATATAATTGGAAGAGCTATGGATAAATCTCTATAACTCTACTTTTTTTTTTTTCCTAAGTCAAGTAGATGTTTTTCTTATCTTACATTTTTTTTAAAATTTGAATAAAGCAATAACTTCTTCCCTTATAAGTTTTAGAAACAATAGCTCTTTAAGGATTTGTTTAGTTTGGTACTACTATTTTCCTTTGATTGCATGTTCTTATCTACCTCTTCTCAATACTTAACTACTTAAAGCTGCCATGCTATCTCTTTCTTTGTCTACTTGTTTTTTTCTACAATGGTGAATATGCCTCTAATTTTGCACAAATGATACAAATAAGATAAAATTGACAATATTAAACTTATAATTATATAAAATCCAACTCTTAAGATTGAATCAAGGAATAGTTTGGCCTAGTTTGATACTCAAGTCTTGGTTATAACTTCTATTATTATTATCAACTATGCTTTGTTAACTTGCTTTCAATTATATGAATAAAAAAATAAAATTTAAAATTCAAATACTCTTTTGCATTGAATATTTTTTATTCTATTAATTTGAAAACTCTCTTTTGAGTCATATAAGCTAGATGAAAAGATGAGAGTCATCTTTAGTATCACCTTCTTACTTTGAATTGGTAAGCCACTTTTTTTGTTCTTCAATTAATACACATCCATCACTAATGAGAGATTCTATTTGTTGGATTTCTATGGATTAAGTCTTCTATCTTTACCATTATCTTGCTTGAAATTAGTTTGTTTATCATATACTTATTTTTGAACCATCACAATATTACATATAAATAATTTTATTGGAAGGCAACCATGTCTACTTGCAACAATCATTTCTTCTTATTATTGGGAAGATTATTAAAGGTTAGTTTTTTAAATCTTATGAATGTCAAAGGTCTTGCAACCATCTTTATTAATCTTTTTTTTTTTTTTTTTTTTTTTTTTTTTTTACTTCACAATTAGTTTTATTTATTATGATTTCTTTCTTTATTTTTGCTTGTTAAATCTCTTATTTAAACATTGTGGTAAAGTATGAGTCTTCATAGCCCTTATATTATTTTTTTCGTAAATTTGTTACATTAGGCAATCTCTTCATTATTTTGCCTTAAAATGTTTAATGAGATGAATGGAATTCATAATCTTTAGTTGTATACAGCTATTTTATCAACATAATTAAGTCATGTTTAAATTAGACCATCTCAAACTAGTTGTATGTCTTAAATGGAATTGCCCAATACTTCTATAAGTCTCTTTTGAGATTTTTTTTTTTTTTTTTTTTTTTTTTTTTTTTTAATTTTATATAATGAAAGAACTTTTTTTAGTTTATCTATCTTTATTTATATGATTGTGCATAATTTTTTTATAGAGTTATTAGAAGAATAAACTATTAGTTTTTAGTTTTTAGTTTTCAGTTTTTTAGGTTTTTTTTTTTTTTTTTTTTTTTTTATATATTTTTTTAAAAGGTCTTTTTTGGAATGATATGTAAGTAAAAGTGAAAGTAAAATAAGTTACCTTATAGAAGATATTATCTTAGGTAAATTACTATTAGTTAAACAATTCGCTCATGGTTTATAAAAAAGTCAAGAAATAAAATAGATGAACAGACCAAGGATCTTAAGAATATATAAAATATGCTAAAAATATATTCTTATCATAGATAAGATAATAATGGATAGTTTTGGTAGAATGTTGAATGGATGTATTTATCAAAGGATGGAAGTTGTCTATTAGGGCAGCAACCACTACTTATAAGTAATGGATATTAGAAGTGAGAGATATCTTATTCCATACTCTCTTTGTGTGCAACTTTCCTAATGCTAAGTATTATGACTTCATAGTGCTTGTTCTTTAATAGGTTATAAGCCTACTCACCTTTAGTTGTGAATTTTGAAGTTCTTTAAAGTCTTACTTATTGTGAGGATTAGATCTTTTGGTTGTTAGTGATGTTAAGGTTAGGTATCATTTAATTCCATTATTGCATCTACTTGTCAATGTAGTTTTGCTCTTACTTATTGTTAAGTGTATTGATAATCTTTGAGATTATTAGATATCTTAGAATAATATTTTAGAACACTAGTATTACATTTCGTTGCTAATTTATATCATTTGTAATCTAATATTGTGGTTTTATATAATAAACTTTCCTTGAGATCCTCTTATAGTGATAAAAAGTGTTTTGTGAGGTTAGAAGTATTTTATGAGAGAAGAAGGGTGATTAGAGAATGACAAAGCTTATACAAGAAGTTAAGATAGAATAAATGACTTGTGAAAAATCTTATAAATAAAGTTGAGAGTGATTAAAGAGTGAAATCACTTGTTTATTCACAAAGAAGGCATTTTAGATTTTCTAAGGTAGCAACACTTTCTTGTTGATTTTGAAAGCTCTTTCTTCTCTTTTTTTTGATTTTTTTTGATATATTCTTTTTTTAGACATGATTTCAAGTGATGGTGAGAGCTTGAGAGTGATTGAGATATTTAGGGGTAATAACTTCTACTATTGGAAGAAAAAAATGGAGCTTTTATTGGCTTTATTGGACCTTTGGGATATAGTAGATGAAAGTGAAGAGCTTCCTAGTGATGATGCTAATGTTAAGGTGAAAAAAGAATACAAAAATTGTAAAAAAAAGGTTTTTGGCATAATTGTATCAAATTTGGATAATGCCAATTTTTCACATGTAATTGATTGCAATAAATCAATAAAAGTATAGGAGACTCTTTGCAACATCTATGAAAGTAGAAACCTTTCCAACATTTTTTGGATAAGGAAGAAGTCCTTAACAATAAAGATGGAAGATGGAGATCACTTCATGGCTCATGTCAATAAGATAAAAACACTTACAAACCAATTAGCAGTTATTGTTAAGCTAGTTGCTGATAAAGAGATTGTGTTGTTATTACTCATGAGCCTTTTTGAATCCTACAACTACCTCATTGT